CACCAGGCCCATTCCACCCCCTCAGCAGAGCTCTTGCCATTCCTGGAGAAGAACTCTACTGACTCCTTCCTTTCTTGGGGCTTCTTCCAGTCTCTCTGGTGACCACTCAGCAAATCTGGGAGCCAAACTCTGGAAGGCGGGGGTTCTGGGAGCATGGTGTGCAGCGGACAGCGTTACTTGGGAGCTTGCTACTGGTGCACTTGCCCCTCCCCCAGGACCTTCCAAATCAGACTCGGTGGCATTCGCTGGGATTCCTCAGGTGATTCTTGACAGTGAAGTGTGAGAGGCCTGCTAGGAGTCTGCCAGCCCTCTGCTCCACAGCAACATTTTCACAGCAACCTCAGCTGCTTAACTTCCCTGCTCTGCCCTTCACTCCACCTGTACCTCATGCCTATTGCGTACCAACTCTACGCTTAGACACTGGAAGAACAGAAATAAATAGGACTTCACTCTTAAGGAGCCTATGGTCTGACATGCAAACCTGAAAAACAGTAGTATGAGATAGGAGTCAAGCACTGAGGGAAGACAGTAAAAAGAATGACCTGACCTTGCCTGGAAGAACATGGCAAACTCCATAGAGCACGTGCCACTTGGCCTGGGTTTTGAAGTGAACTGGAGTTTATGGGCAGAGGCATGAGATGTGGACCAGCCTGGCAGTTGAGGGCCAGAGGCTATGGCTGTGGCTTCAGGGAATGCTTACATCCCACGGAAGGCTCCAGGCTTTGCTGGAGACCGAGGGGCTTGGGGAATGCTTACTGCACTGGCCCTGAGGAGGAGAATGTGGACGAACATCTGAACCCCGCAGACCCCCTACTGGCCTCCTGCACTCCCAGCCCCGTGTCCTCAGTCCTTCGCCATGCTTAGTCCTAGCTGCAGACAGAATGTTTCTGCACAACCATCTGGGAGGGGATGACCCTGTGTTTATCTGGCTCTGCCTTCTGCCCCATTCCCTTCCTTCACAGCAACCTGGAACTTTGGCCGTAACGCAGAAGATAATTTCGTGCTGTCCGTGGACTCCTCCACCCTGCTCTTCCCAGTGAGGAGAGTAGGAACAGCTCAAAAAAAAAGGACTGGAAAAATGATGACTGCAGTCTCATTTTCTGCTCTGATTTCCCATCTTTCTTGTCCTTTACTGTGATAGTCCCCTTTCTTGGTCTCTCTCTGAATACTGTTTTTCCCAGGCTAACCTTTCGCTTATAATTTATTGTGAAATACGTTAACACAGACAATAATAATGTATGAATGCTTTTGTGCCTATCAGCCCCTTTTTATAAAAATCAGTGATATGGTGGTGGCCTGGAGCTGGCGGAAGAGGAAATGGGGAACAAGTATTCCATGCAAAGAGTTTCAGGTTTGCAAGATGAAAAAGTTCTAGCAAAACCATGTGAATGTTACACACACATGTGTGTGCATGTGTTACTAGGTATTGAACCCAGAGCCTTTGAACTGAGTTACATCTTCAGTTTTTTGTTGGTTTGTTTGTTTAATTTTGAGACAGGACCTCACTAAGATGTCCAGGCTGGGCTGGAACCTGTGATCCTCCTGCCTCAGCCTCACAAAGTGCTGGGATTACAGGCATGCCTCACAGAATTTGGCTAACTACGCTGAAATCCTAGCATTGCTGTACTATGCAGCCTAATAGTTAACATGGGGGAATTTTATGCTGTATTTTATATCATAATTAGGCAGATTTTTCTTAAGTTGACAGTTCTTTTTACTCCTGAACCATTATCTCTGTTTGCCTGGAAGGACAGATTTCTGCCTACTTAATGAGTTCAGCAAAGTTCTCCTACAATCAAAGACAGGGCAATAGAGGGAGAGGAAGTCACAGAGTCTTTTCCTACTTGGGGCCATACAAGGGTAAAGACAAAAGCGCACTGCATAGTTGATCCATTGGAGAACATGCCTTGGGAAAAAAATGTCCTTGCTAAAAGGTGCTCCACTCATACCTTGCCTTTTGCCCAGGCTGGCTTCCAACTCATAATGATCCTTCTGCTTCAGCCTCCAAGTGCTGGGACTACAGGCCTGTGCCACCACTTCCGGCTGATGAAATGTATATTC